GTTTAAACGAACATACAGGTATGACCACCGCTACATGAACAGCGCCATCTGTTGGTGATTAGAAGAGATAAATATAGCTTTCATGATCTACCAGAATGATGTCTTTCTGATGCGTTATAATGACAAGAAAGTTGCTTCAAGAAAAGAAAAAAGAGTTCAAGTGTGGTTTCACAAAATAATATTAAAATATGAAATATTTTTACTTAACGTACGTATTTTTTTAAAAGTCCATGACGTGTTACGAGAAGTTAAACTGCTTACAAGTCTTCAGTCAATAAACGAATGAGTTGTGTCCATTCATCTCCATTTTTTTTAACTTTGTGCTATGACGCCAAGGTGATTGTTCCTGTTAAAATTAAACGTATAGTAAGGGTAGCAAAGAAAGGATAATTTAATCACCAAATTCTACAACTTATGGCTGTATTCTATTTTAATTGTCCAAAACTATCCATTTCTAGCGAGTTAATCAAAAAATTTGAATTATGGGTAATTGTTTGGGTAATACCATAATTTCCGGACACCATGTATGAGTATAATATCACTAAGCTGAAAGTTTTATTATTACCAAACAAATTCCAAAGATCCTAGTAGAAAAAACGAAACACACAAAAAAAACTTTAATTTCTCTTTCACTGTGAATAAATCTAAGCCTAGACTGATGATGTAAAGCAGAGTTTTTTTGGGTGTAATGGCTGGTTTAATAAATGATAAAACCTCTATTATTTCTTCCGTTTTAAATCACGTATTCAGTAAAAAAATGTTAGAGTTAAATTAGTTTGTGAGTCGCACTGACAACGAAACGTTTTCCACTCACAAGATTGTACTACATAACGTTTTCATATAATAAATAATTAATTTTTTCACATTCGAAGGGCCAAAATAAGAAAAAATCATTCAAATAAAATAAGGAAATCAGTTACCCAGTCTCACTCTAACAATGTATGATAGGTCTACGTTACCCAGTCTTACCCCAACAATGTATAATAGGTCTACGTTACCCAGTCTTACCCCAACAATGTATGATATGTCTACGTTACCCAGTCTTACCCCAACAATGTATGATAGGTCTACGTTACCCAGTCTTACCCCAACGATGTATGATAGGTCTACATTACCCAGTCTTACCCCAACAATGTATGATAGGTCTACATTACCTAGTCACCCCAACAATGTATAATAGGTCTACGTTACCCAGTCTTACCCCAACAATGTATAATAGATCAACGTTACCCAGTCTTACCCCAACAATGTGTAATAGATCTACGTTACCCAGTCTTACCCCAACAATGTATAATAGGTCTACGTTACCCAGTCTTACCCCAACAATGTATAATAGATCAACGTTACCCAGTCTTACTTTTTAGCTTTGTTCAGTTCAAAGTACTCTCTTTTATCCCAAGTACAAGAAAATTGTTATTGATTTTTCTCCAAATTAATTGCGAAAAATAATAAAACTTATGAGGAAAACTAAGACTAGTAACACGTAAACACACCTAAAATAGTCCTCCGAATGGCTCTAGCTATTCGAGTAGTAGCTAAAACTGAGATTTATTGCACAGTTATATAGCAAGCCTTCCCCTTGGTAACATTCGTACCAATTAGTGTTGCCGCTTATTATAGGGATTTTTAATTAAACATGACGCCATCCTTGGGAGATAATTAAAGAAAATCCCACATTATTCGTCGTTAGGAAGAAAAGAACATAAACTCGTTTATAAAATGAATCAGACAGAAAATCTGTGTCAATTTTACCAAAACGTAGCCTCTTCTTCGACATTCGTTTCTGACAGGGACAACTCAGTAGTGAAGTTAATCCTTGCTTTCTTTTGCAAGATAGTAATCATCGGGTCTAGTTAATTAAATATTAGGAGCAGTTCAAGCTAAGTACATTTTTGTATTTTTAGAACAATGCTAAGGTTGTGTTAGTTTTCCTTAGATAAAGTGTTTTTCCTCGTTTCCTGTTAAAATTCTAATCCGACTCGTTTTGTTCCTTCCTTATACTTGTCTTTCTGTTGAGTTATATACGGCTCAAGCTTCCAAGCATACAAGGTTTTTTTACCAATATTTCGATTGTAATATTTAGTAATAATAAGTGTTTAAACACAGCATTTTAACATCAAAATCTTTATCTTAAACATTACAATAGACTTATTCATTTTAGTTTATGAACCACCTTCAAATATGTCGTTATGAAATTTTTAAAAACAAAAATAGGAGATAAGTAGGAGCCATTGAAATGCTTTTACATTGCTAAAATTTGGGATTAGATCCTTGCAGTTGGCACAGTACAAGTATCCATTGCTCTTAACAATTGTCAAACAAAACGTTCAAATCTCTTCACGTTGCAGGAAAAAAGAAAGGCTTCGGTGTTTTGTAAACTAGGTGGCGTTCACAGCAGGTTTAAATCTAACGGATGTTGATGTCTATTTCGTAGGTTAATACGTCAAGTGTATTTACTTTCCTGGATATGAAGAGCCCCCTGGAGGTGTTTGTTTAAACTTTAACCAAGGAACGTTTATCAAGAGACTGTTTATTGCTTTTCTGACTTTTTTTTTCGTAATAAAGAAAATAGGATAAATAACGACAATCTTCCTCCATCTTTTTTTTTTTTACTGAGATACCGTTCTTTGAAAACATAGTTAATCATTTATGTTTTTTACTGTTACTAATTCTTGTGGCATTTACCAATAGCTGATATTATAAATATTTTGTAAAAGCTTATTTATAGTTTTCACAAAATGTACAAAATACTTTTGGGTCATTTACTCTGGATGCAGGTACAATAAATGAAACCAAAACCCAATGTTGTTCGTTTGTAGTAACTTAAGAAAACAGCAAATGCTAAACACGTTCTTATAAATGCTTATTTTCAGATTCCGCATTTTGTAACTTTTTTATATAGCATGCTACTAGTATTTTACTCGTAAAAAATATTATTAGTCTCAAAATTAAAACTTAAAACAGATTTGACTTTATATAGCCGAAAGAAACAGGATTTATACCAATATTTGTTATTAGAATCTAACACTTTCGTTAGAGGCATAACTACACATAACAGCTGATTCAGCTTTAAAAGAGAGTGAAAGACTGTTTGTTTGTTTGTTTATTTTTAAAGCAAAGCCCCATTGGGGTATCTGTTGTGTCCACCGCAGGAAATTGAACCCCGAATTTTAGCGTACACTTGCCGCTGTCCCAACGGCGAACACTTTCTTGTCTATATTCCATTATTAATAAAACTTTCTGGTAATCCTGGCTGCAGATTTTCTTAACCATAAAATGGGACCAAATCTAAAATTAGACAGAATTAGCTTGGAAGGTTTATTTTGAATGCTTCTTTTAGACACAGAACGTATGTGTCATTTTTAAATATTACAAAATTAAAAACCATTGAAAGAATCATTGTGGTGTGACGAAGAATAAAATACCACACTAATTATTATGTTGCCTTTGTACGAAATTATAATTAACAATATTATTACCCACACTAATTATTATGTTGCCTTTATACGATATTATAATTAGTAATATTATTACCCACACTAATTATTATGATGTCTTTATACGATATTATAATTAGCAGTATTATTACCTACACTAATTATTATGGTGTCTTTATACGATATTATAATTAGCAATATTATTACCTAGACTAATTATTATGATGTCTTTGTACGATATTATAATTAGCAATATTATTACCCACACTAATTACCATGATGTCTTTATACGATATTATTCTTAGCAATATTATTACCTACACTAATTATTATGATGTCTTTGTACGATATTAAAATTAGCAATATTATTACCTACACTAATTATCATGATGTCTTTATACGATATTATTCTTAGCAATATTATTACCTACACTAATTATTATGATGTCTTTGTACGATATTATAATTAGCAATATTATTACCCACACTAATTATTATGATGCCTTTATACGACATTATTAATATGTTTCAAAATTGGTAGTGGCTAATTATGGGTGAGGATAAAATCCAAGCCTTACTTCCCACCCAGCCCATCTCTTCCATGGCGTAATCCATAAAACTTTCGCTGTAAATTTTGAGATTGCAACCATGACAATATTTGATAAATATTTCGCTATACATTATGAGACTGTAACCATGACAATGTATACCAGATGTCTCTCTATACAGTATGATACTTCGGGAAAGAATTATAACAGTACTGCTGTCCATAATGATTTTGTAGATACTGTACTGATAGCAACGTATTATAAACGTCTAGTTATAATAGACATTTTGGAACTTGGCAATAAGGAAGAAATTCAAGATGGTCGCTGAGAGGAGCAAATAGCCATAACTCATGTTTTGGAACAGATAGCACAATGATTTGGGTGTCTAAATATATGTTTTGGGGGTCAAGGAAACAACTGGCAACATTAACAACGAAATTAGTCCTAACCTATTTGATGAATTCACGATGGTTGCTAATATGGCCGCCACAAGGAGTAAGTAGCAATATCTGATGTTCTAGAGTAGATAGCAATATGATTGAAGGTGTCTAGAAATAGACATAATGTTACCAGTGGTTTTCTAGACTCCCAAAACCTATATATAGACACCAAAATCATTGTGTTATTTACTCTAGAACACGAGTTATGGTTATTTATCATACATTGAAGCCATTTTGAATTTCTCCCTCATTGCCGGTTTCCAAAATGTCTGCCCTAGATTTTTAAAAACCTCACATGATATCCTTATGAAATATAAAGAGTAATTCTTCGGCCATAAAAATGTTCACAGGACCCCCCTCAGCCAGTAGACTAATTGTAGATACCGCACCAATAACAACGTAGTATAAGCTTCTCGCTATAGACTGTAAGACTGCCGTAGTCATGACAACATATTATAAACTTCTCGCTCTAGTTTATGAGACTGTAGCCATAGCAACGTATTTTAGGATTGGTGTGAAAATGATATACTGTTGTTTTTATATATTTTTAATGATATTTTTTTTTCTTTTCACAGCTCTTATAGTACGGTTTATAACAAGTCGCTTCATATGGGAGTACGACCCAACGCTAGGTGAGTACGATAGCTTTTATTTTTCACAACATAACTTTAAAACGTAAAGTGTAATTTAAAATTATGTGTTTAGTTTATTTCGAGCTATAAGCGTCATTAGAAAAAAAAAAGAGTAAATAAGAGACTTCTAAGTTTGATAATTTTGTATAAATGTCAAGTTAGTTACATTTCTCCTATAAACTGGCTTGCTTTGTGTCTGTAACGCTAATGTCACAACTTAATGACCTCTGATAGCATTAAAGTTTCAGGAGTTCTTGACTATTCTAAAGAGTGGTTTTAAGATGTCTTATTTTATCATTTTCTTACCTTCTCGAGCTTTACAGCCGTTTCAATTTTCCCCCAGCATACTCGCTGTCCCGTCATCCTCGTGAAGGCAAAGGCGTCTGACTCGTTCCTTTGCTGTAATATTCATAAATCCGTTCTTATATATTTTGTGTCGTCGAAACAGAACGTGTAACTTGTTACTTTTATACCTTAAAATACTAAAAGTAAAACACGAAAACATAAACCGTCATTTCTCAATTTGATACCTTAAACAAATACCAAAAACATGATAGCAGAAAATAGAGAAAAATTAACAGAAATAAACAATTTGTTGATTAGACTAACGAAAAAAAACTAATCGGGAAACAGAGGCCCCATCCAACAGGAAAATCGAGTTGGCGGTGGGTGATGTTTACTAGTTGTCTTCTCTCTAGTCTATCGCTTCAAAATTAGGGACGGCTGGCGCAGACAACCCTCGTGTAGCATTGCGTGAAATTTAACAAAGAAACAGACTTCTTCTGTGTTCCTTTTAATTGTACGTTAGATGTATGTAATATCGGATTTATTTCTTTTATAGTTCCTATTTTTTCGTTTATGCGAACGTTCTGTTTTAGTTTTAGTGCTTATTTCTAATATATTTCTTGATCTATTTCACTAAAATATTATAACAATCTGATAAGCCTATTTCACTAAATGGTTTCAGTGAATAAATGCCATTCAACAAACAGTGTGTAAATAAACATATCACATTATTTTGCTATTTCATGGTTTGGTTAGCACAAATAATGTCTATTTGCGAAATTAATTAAATAACTAAAATTTATCTGTTTTGTACCCACGAAATAATCGTCGAGATCAAGTGTGCTGGACTTCTGGACTTTAATTTTAGATTCAATTTTGCCACGCCTACTTGTCATATTTAAGAACAAAAAAACGTCAAGGCTTCTCATATTTACTACTTCATAATAGAAACGAACTTCTTATTACTACAACTGAAAGTAATTAACAAATTAATTCACACGTTTGGAGTTTCACCTACTCAATAAAACTAGTAAAAGCAAGAGACGTTCAATTAAAACTTTAAAAAAAAAATCAATTTTTAAAGCAAGACATAGTTAATTTGCCATATTAAAAAAGCACTACTTGCAATCGATTTATACGATAAATGGAAAAAAAACTTAAGCGCCAATAGATGGCGCTTTCTTTTACAGTACTGGAATGAGCACGTTTGTCGTTTTGTTAGTGGGAAATTGAGCATTTTGAAGGTTGAAATATATATATAATTATTTATGTTTGATTAACAACAGTTACTGATTATTAAAAATATATTTTGTACATCAAATGCATTTATAAGAGAATGAAGCTATCAAATATTTAATGTAATAAATTAATCATTTAACACTATATAATACAACGTTCGTAACATTATTACATTACAATTATAATATAATGAACTACAATAGTTGTTCTGTGAAAGTGGTCTTTACTTGAAAGTCCAAAATAATTTATACTTTTGAGAAGGAAAAAAAATATTGGAAATAGAAAATTATATCAAAACTTGTAGCCGAATTAAAGAAACAATTAATCCAAGCTATAATTAATATTATTTGCAGAAATGAGAATCATTGCCCTGGTTCACATTTCCGTCGTATTCAAAAATAAAATAAAATACCTTTTCAATTCCAGTATGTTTTCCACTTATGAGAATCTAATATTTTCGTAAATCATAAGCATATTTTATATATTTGTTTTTAATGAAAAAAATATTCTATTCGACGTTATGACTCATGTAAGGTGCCGAATAACACCTTCAAAATTATATGTTTCAATTTTTATTTATATTTTTAGTCTGGTGTCATTTGGAAAAATAAATAAATAAGCTTTCTACCAAGCTAAGAGTACTGTTGTAAAAAAAAATAAAGAAGTCCACCTACACATTCAAATACCTACTCAAAACAGCCAACTAACTAGACAGTGACCAATCCTACATGGCAAATCACAACGGAGGATATAAATAAACTTAAATTTCTCAAGTGTGTATAGTCTATTTGGGTGAATAAACCAATTATTTATGTACGTTTCTTGACTTGTCTCTGCCTGCTAGAAAACAGAGCATTAGTAGAACCTGAGCGGACTGTTGGAGTGATAAAACTTGTTGTATCTGATGAAAATTTACAATGTAATTCACGTATTTCTTGAGTTTTTCTCTCCAGTTTTTAATTTATGTTTTGAAAAAAGAGAGAATAAGAACAAAATTAAACTAATCAGGTTATTCTTTTGACGACAGCGACCATCATCTGACTGCAAATTATATTGTTGGTAGTCAGTGACATCTATCGGTGATCTAACTAAATATTGTTTACATCTGCGTGTTGGGAATCGACACGTTTTTGTTATAACATTATTTATGAATTACCTTTTTTTAATGAAATTGTATTTTTGTTTATCTCTTATTCGACTCATAGTTGTGATTTGTTCTCCAGTGACCTTCGAAATCACAAGATAAAGATTAGTTAATACGTTTGTTAAACAGAGCGCGATTGGTAATCAGTGTTTTAACAACATTTCGGAGAAAACTAAAATCAATTGACCTTGACAGAGGAGTAAGTGTTGAAATATTTAAAAATTCAAGATGTATATAACATGATTTATAATATCAGGATCTGCATTTTAACTCAAAAATTCTCATTTCTTCCAGAAATTAAAGAAAGAAAACTTTTTTCTATAATAAGAGAGTCAGGACTTGTTTCTCATAATCTGTTATAAGGATCAATAATTAATATAATATGATTAAAATATTACATTGTTAAACTCGGAAATATATAAACATATATATGTGTGTCTAAAGATATCATGCATACAATAAAAATGAAAAAGGTGTCAACAAATAAAAGCAAAATATAGAAGTAAATTCTCTCCCAAACAAAATGTAATTAAACTGTAATATCATTTAATTAATTTGAAATTTTCCTTTTCCTACCTAAAATGTCAAACTTCCGTGAACTGTGAGATCACTTGTTTTATTTGTACATAACGAGAACACTTAAGTTCTTAACCATCTTTTTCTATGTGCATAAAAAAATTAAAAATATTATAAAAAATGCATATAAGTAAATTATAGTACAACAATCTATATTTTAGATTTCAAAGGTCTATAGTACTACCACTAGAAAAACAGTGTAATTATTAATGTATTACGCTTACACTGTTGGAAGTATGTGATCTTGGAAAGATCGCGAAACGTTAGAGAACGTATATGCTTACAACTAAATATTGTTCGTGTTACAATACATAATCTGATTAAGGTTCTATTTGTAAAATGAAATATTTTTAAAATTCTAACAGCTCGCAGAGAACGTGAGCTGATGACAGTACATATATTAATATGATACTTATCTGCATGAAATTAACTAAACTGTTCATTGGTAATGAATTCCTCTAAATCAAATTACAATACTGACACTATACCGCTAGTAACATGCTTGAAATCGTATACAATTTAATAAACTCCTAAAATTTAATATTACAATCCTATTATGTAAAGTAGAAAATTACAGTAACATAAATATTTTTTCTTTAGTTATTTTTGCGAAAGCAAAATGATTGTTCTGTGGAGGTGCCGGGGATCGAACCCGGGGCCTTTCACATGCAAAGCGAACGCTCTACCACTGAGCTACACCCCCAGATAAGAATATAGTTTTATTTATTATTTTTAACATTTAAAAATTTGTTCCTAACTTCTCTTTTTTTTGTTTTTCTTTTAAACATTAATTTAATAGTTTACTTTTATTTCATAGTTGAAAAATTGTTTACTTTCCAGGGTAAATTACTTCGTTGATTCAAAATCAAGACCTTGAAGTGTGAAACTTTCTTTCCGTCACTGACATGATTAGTCCTAAACACAGATAATCAAGGATATTCATAAACTTCCAAGGCATAATTGTTTTGCTAGTACTAATCTTTTTAGATCAACCTTCATTCACGATGCAAACTGGTATCGTTTCTGAAGCTGTCCTTTACATTTTTATTGTTTTCGTTACGCTTTGTGTTTCACTTTATTCGGTGTTTACGTCAGTTGACCAGTCAACAATCATTCTCTGTTGACTCACACTCTATTTTCATGTGCTGTGCGAAAAGTGGTGACGTAATCTCTGAACACCACTTGGTTCTTTTCCAAAATCTACATCAAAAGGTAAAAGGTAGTTTTTGGAACACTACTGGTAAAGAAAACATTAAACTTGAAGCCCAGTATGTATTCATTAGTGGGTGATTTTAAGAGACTTTTATCTGCTAATCGTTAGATGTTACGTTTTCACTGCTGGTATGCTGTTTCTTCTTTATTTTTTGTATTGTTACGTCTCCGTTTGTTAATTGATTTTTCCGTAACTTCGTTCCGACGAAATTTTAACGACACAAGTCTTTACTTAATAAAACTGGTTTATTCTTTCCGAATATAACCTTATCGATACACTCAACTTCAACAATCGCGCTAAACAAACGCTATAACAACGAACGTCAATAATACTTCTGACTGCAGTTCAATTACTCACTGTCTACACACACATTCCATCACCTTAATCTTTTTCGCGTCACGTTTTCCCCTCTTATATATACCCGCCTACCCTATATCTAGTAAGAACTAGAACATTCGCCAAAGTACAGGATAATTCTAGAAAGTAGAGAGCGTGAGAATCACATGATCTCGATGACGCAACAGTATGTTGCAACTTCTCAAAAACGTGTTTAACCTCGTGATATGATTTCTATATTTTTCATTAACAATTTTATGTAATTTTTCTTTAATTATTAATAACCTCCTTTACAACCTGTGCTAATATTATAAAACAAATTGCGCTTTCTATTTCACTTTTTAGTTAACGTTTTGAGCTCTATTATATGTATATCAGTCCCTCACATTCACATATTTAGCCCAATTACATGTATACTAGTCCCTTTATTTTACAAGTCTTTCCTTGTCCGAGCTTGAAGGCCAGAATAAGGAACAGACATGTTGCGAACATTGTCGTAGGACTGTACTTTGGAATTTAGTAACTCAAGTGGGTAAAATTTCATTGTATTAGTGACTGCTTTGAATACAGTGTCAGCTGAATGTAAACTTTAGAAATATTTCCACAGGAACAACATCTTTATAGATATATCGAATAATGGAGGTTAGTTGGTCCACATGCGATATATCTGGTGTTCAGTCAACACTTATAGAATAATATTTAGCGGCTTTCGCTTCGGTTGTCATCACTTCTAACAGTTTAGTTGCCATGACTTCAATGAATTCGTAACATACATATTTATGTTCATAAAAAAATTAAAATATTTATTAACACATTTACGATTTACAACAAAACGTTTACTATAGCTGTTTAAAAACACAAATTACCAGAAGTTTTTATTGTCTGCTGCTGTACTGTACTGAGATGAAAACAAAATGTTGGGTATGAGTAGAAAAAAAATGTTCAGCAAAAGAAAATAGAAAAATATAACTAAAATATCAGTGGTGGGTTAATTTTAAAGTTTTAACACTTAAAAATAACCTGAGTCAGGCTTTCGCATGTTTGTGCCAGACACACGTGTTCCCATGACACAAATGCAAATAATTTATATAAATAATACACTTGCATTTGTCTGTCCGGAACTTTTCTCGTAAATTTCTCAAACAAACGCCACAAATCTCATATTGTTACAAAGGCCTTTGTCCAAGAAGCCCGAATTGCATATTGCCTTTTCAATTCAGAATCGCCTTTTTTTGCTTGGTCAAACTTTTCCATGGAACCAGTGTGTTACACGATGACACAATGTCGTTGTCATCACGTGACTACTGGCTTCGATTTCAACTTTAGTTTTTTATTTACAAAGTATTTCATACAAACGACACTTAACTAGTGTGTAAATGAACATTACACTAAATACAATTTCTATAAGTTTCTCGACTATTTAGGCCTAAAATACTCGTTCGCAGTTCGTTCAGAACCATACGTTTATCACTTTGTGAACACACATTCAGACGTTTCTGCATATTGAGCTAAGTTTGCTTGTACATTTACTTTACTTTGCAATAAGTTAGATTTATATAAACACCTTTTGGCTACTTTTTTCCTTAGTACGGGTTTTATTCTTCGTTTTTGTGAGTTTCTTTGTTTCAACTTGTAAAACTGTGTCATACACTGAACGTTCATAACTGTGTCATACACTGAACGTTCATAACTGTTTCATACTCTGTACACTATTATAGATACCATTACTATACTTAATTGTCTACTTGACGTATAATTTTATTAAATAAAGTTACATCTACGTGAGTTTGTTTGTCTGACCGCGTAAAAGTTTTTCAAAAAACCAGGATTTATCGATCTATCGCATAATGCCTGCAAGAAAGCGTAGCTTAAATGACATTCGTGAAAATGACAGAATAGGGAAAATTCAAGCGAAGGGCATGAAAACTACTGCAAATTTTTTGCGGGTCGCGGCTATTAAAAAATGAAAACGCTTAGTACGCAAATCTAGCTGTATAGAATAATGGAGTTATACAGGAATGAATATATCATTGGTAGTTGGTGAAAAGTTGAAACAGTAAAATGAAATTGATCTCAAAATTAATTAAACAAGTTTCTTTAAAAAGAAAAAATATATTCTCGGAAATAGTTGTCAGAATTTGCGAAAAATGTTTGACATTGAGTTGGCCTGTGGAAGTCTTAATTCAGTTTAATTGAACTTACACCTCATTTTTCTCTGATTTGTATAGGGCCAGGCGTGGCCTAATGATTAGTGCATCCGGGTTATGAATCCCAGAATTCGTGGTTCGCATCCGTTCCGTAAAAACTTTTCTCCATCTGTTGGAGATGTGAATGCGCTTTAGATGAAGATCAAACCCTACTATTCTGCCAGAGCTGACTTTGAGTGCTTTTGGCTAGCTGCCCTTTACGGGTGGCTGGAAACTATGAAATGGGCCTTAAAATCATACTTGCAAGGTGAGGTTTTGAGTTGTTCCTGCACCTGGATGTCTTTTAATAACGAATGCCTAATTGTTTTCCTTTGTTCCAGAGTGTACTTACCGACACACTGTGATGGTTGATGACGAAAACGTTACCATGGAAATTTTAGACACAGCTGGACGGGTAAGTGTGGGAATACTCCTCATGAATTGTTGTAGGGGTAAGTGTGGGAATACGCTTTACGAATTGTTGTAGGGGTAAGTGTTGTATTAACTCTTTAACTTCCGGTTGTTAATATCTGGTTGATGAAATACTGCTGTATTCGCGATATTAATATCTGGTTGATGAAATACTGCTGTATTCACGATGTTAATATCTGGTTGATGAAATACTACTGTATTCACGATATTAATATCTGGTTGATGAAATACTACTGTATTCGCGATATTAATATCTGGTTGATCAATACTACTGTATTCACGATATTGATATCTAGTTGATGAAATACTGCTGTATTCGCGATATTAATATCTGGTTGATGATATACTGCTGTATTCACGATATTAATATCTGGTTGATCAATACTACTGTATTCACGATATTGATATCTAGTTGATGAAATACTGCTGTATTCGCGATATTAATATCTGGTTGATGATATACTGCTGTATTCACGATATTAATATCTGGTTGATGAAATACTACTGTATTCACGATATTAATATCTGGTTGATCAATACTACTGTATTCACGATATTAATATCTGGTTGATGAAATACTACTGTATTCACGATATTAATATCTGGTTGATGAAATACTATTGTATTCACGATATTAATATCTGACTGATGATATACTGCTGTATTTGCGATATTAATATTTGGTTGATGAAATACTACTTTATTGCGAGCAAACTCCAAAGTAAAACAGATGAATAATACGTATAATGAGTTTAGAGTTGCAATAAAAACTTACTGGATGATTGTAATCGTTTTCTTGTCTGGAGCAGTAACATCTGCGATTATTCTCCCTCTCTGTAACATTATACAGAAACACATCGGAAGCCTCTCGTGGTATTAAACAGGAAGGTTGATAATCCCAAGTTCTTGGATTTTCTCTCAAATTGTATGTTGTATCCGCATGTCAGTCGTATTGTTTGAATGTCTCTATTGTTCATTATCTACATCACAAATATATATATATATTTAATATATGAAACTGTTAATCAGTATATATATATAGTAACTAAGTAAATATGTTCGTAGCACAAGGGACTTGTTTGATGTTAAATTATTTTTAATGGTAAATACAATAGTGAAATATTAGACATATTTTATGGACATTTTTATGAGTTCAGTAACTGAAAACCTCATAATTGGATGTATTCAATTTGCTCAATTTTCTGTAGGTTTAAGTTTATTGGTTGTTGATTTTTAAAACTATTTGCACTAATCGTCCCTAATTTAGTGCTGAAAGACTAGGGACAAGGCAGCTGAAGTCAACCACACCTACTACCAACTTTTTTGGCTACCCTTGTCTGGTCGAATGTTAGGATTTGATCGTCACTCTTATAACTCACCCACTGTCCAAAAGTGCGGAGTGAGGTTTAGTTTGTTTTTTCTTCTTCTTTTTTTTTTTTTTTGGTAGTAACGGGACGTGAGCCATGTAATCTCAGATTCCCAGTCCTGTTTAAATTTAGTTAGTGTATTGTGACATCGAGTGTCTTTTTAGAAAGGTTCTTTTTCTGTATTGGAGATACAGTTGAGAGATAGTAACTTTCATTTTGATTTGTATATGAGCCTTGCATATTTGTACTGTAAAAACAAACTTAGAAGTAAAAATATCTAAGTTTAAAGTATATGATAAAAACCAACTCAATATTAATCGTTTTAAAGAAAAAATAAAACAAGACTGAAATATATATAGACCCAAAATTCCAACCAAACCACTGATGTTTACAACACAGTGTGACACTAAAGGACAGCATGGGGGCTTTTGGATAGTCTAGAACGTATGGTCAGTAATTAAAAATTTTGGACACAGCAGATAGCCATAGTTGATTTACCATAAATACAAAATACAACAACAGTAAACCTGAGAAGCTTTGCCCTAAGTACAAAATACAACAACAACAGTAAGCCTGAGAAGCTTTGCCCTAAGTACAAAATACAACAACAGCAGCTAGCCTGAGAAGCTTTGCCCTAAGTACACAATACAACAACAACAGTAAGCCTGAGAAGCTTTGCCCTAAGTACAAAATACAACAACAGCAGCTAGCCTGAGTAGCTTTGCCTTAAGTACAAAATACAACTACAACAGTAAGCCTGAGAAGCTTTGCCCTAAGTACAAAATACAACAACAACAGTAAGCCTGAGAATCTTTGACCTAAGTACAAAATACAACAGCAGTAAGACTGAGAAGCTTTGCCCTAAGTACAAAATACAACAACAGTAAGCCTGAGAATCTTTGACCTAAGTACAAAATACACCAGCAGTAAGCCTGAGAAGCTTTGCCTCAAATAGAAAATACAAATACATTTAATTTCAGAAACTTTATGCCATAAATACAAAACACAAATTCTTATTATTCTGGCAGCTACAGTAATTTCCTGGAACATTTTAAGTTTGCTCTTATTTCAAATGACACCACAATAAAAAAAAAGAAGTTACGTTTGATGAATTAGCCTCATTCATATTGTTACGTCTCCGTGTGTTAATTAATTTTCCGTAACTTCGTTCCGACGAAACTTAAGCGACACAAG